ATTGGATTCGGGGCTTCTCCTTTTCTCCTCTCATCTACTAGCATTGTGTCAAATGTAAAATAGGTCCAGCAAGTGACACTAACAAGGATGCTTGTACTTGATGCATGTAGAAGTGCGGAACTATGGTTGTTTACATGTCTGATGCTTCTACAAATGTTTCTTTCTAGATTTCTCTGACCACTAAATAAGAGTTCAGTTACTTGTGATTCTCTTTTTAGTATATTGAACCTGATATATCTTGATTTACTTGATATGGTTCCCTGATGTATTATCACAAGCATATTCAGAACCACTAGAAATATTTACTTCCACTCCTTACTTTTCAGAGCCGAGATCTTTTCCTTTTAAGGAATAGGTTAATTTTCTTTCTGTGTTTTCATGTCTGATGCTTCAACAAATGTTTCCCTTTGTGAAGTACTTTTTTAGCATGAAATTAGTGGTGAATGCTCATAGGGGTGTATAGTTAAACACATTGTTTATGGCATAATACCATCCGGCATGTGAGCAGACACATCTTTATGTGTGTCTCCTGAAATTTATCATTGATGAGTGCTTGTATTTGAAATGTGTATATGTGGCTGTGGCTTCAGTGTTTTAAAACTGTCTTTTTAAGAATCTCTTCAGTATATTAATGTACTTTTTCTTGTAACTCTTAAATATTTGACCGAATAAATTATTGCTCCATTTAGTATTGATATTTGATAGTTATATTTGCAATATCCTTTTCTGTTTCGTATATCTTAACTAGATCTTTGTATCAGTTAACAGTGCATTGAAACTGCATGATGCAAGGGTTGCAACATTCGGCATGCATATATACTATCATGCTCTAGTTATTTGGAAAACTATCTTTGATGATGCTATTGGTTCATTTCCTGAAACTATTGCTGTCTTAAATAAGATAAGTCAAATAATATTACTTGCAATGAAATTATTGTTACTATTCTATACAAAGCTTTTTAGCTAATTTTATTCTATTTATGTTTAAACCATATTAACCTCTATCTGAGGATGGCAGATAATGGGCTGCATGCATTCTCTTAATGCTGTGTTTCTTCTACTCGACACTTTTCTCAATAACCTGGTATGTGTCTCATGTGCATAAGTCAAACACATGCAGCATACTCTGTTTTCACATAGGAACCTAACTTAAATCCTTTTTGCAGCCATTTCCGCTGTTTCGAATGGCATATTTTGCTTTTTGGAGCTGTGTTTATGTGACATTCCAATGGATCCTTCATGCTCGTGGTTTTACTTGGTGAGGATATCCTAGTCTTTCAAGTATTGACATTGTTATGTGTTGTTCCTAAACAGACATTCAGTTGCCCTTGTGCTCAACTTTCTATTAAGTAATTGTTTAACAATGGGATTCTTGAGAGAGCCATTTTATTTATATAAAGCAAGGTAGGTATATATTATCTTGTTCTACTGGTTTCCACACATTATCGAACTAGTAAAGTACGGTATATAGTACTTAACCAATTTGGCACCAAGTTATATAGTACCGTATCAAACCTTGGTCAGACTGATTACTATATATAGCAGTTTGGTCAGTAATTAAAACCTAGTGTTTACCAATTTGACCTAGTATCGATATTGAAATGTTTGGCATGTATACAGTTTGCTTATATTATTTATTATCTTAGTCGATTATACTGGGTGGTACAGGTCAAGTTACCATCTATAGTATACCAGTCTTGTACCGATCAAATAGATTACCAAACTTAGCAACAAAACGATAATTAAATCCATACTTGGTATGAAGTAACACTAACAAGAGGCCTCAAATGGAACATTCAGGAATGTGATTATTACTCTATATTCAAAGAACAAGTTTCATGGGAGCACATCAAACTGTGACTATTATATGATGTGATTAATTGACTTGTGACCTCACTTGAGTGATTGATGTCTGTGCAGGTGGCCTTACCCTTTTTTGGATCTTGCTACTCATTGGGCACCTCTTTGGTAACTTCAGTTCTTTAATTAATTATCTCTTTATTTGTAAGAATTAATTGTGATGCTTATGGCCGTCCACCCTGCAGGTACTTCCTCATGGCATTGGCACATATTCCGTGTTACGGATTGTATTGGTTGATCGTTAGAGCGAAGAACTCATTTTGCCCAAAATTTTTACCAAATGCTTTTATAAGGATATATTAGGTATGTTTCTAAAATGCTAAGCTCCCATGGTTACACAAGTTAGTAATCATTGCAGTACACATGCAAGTCGCCGTCATGCACAATTATGCATAATGAAGCCAATAATGTGACGACATCCTTTGCAACTCATAAACTTGTAAAATGTTCATTGGCTCTTTGTTTTTGTCATTTGAGACTTGTATGGTTAATTTTCTAATCAACTCTTTGGAGGTGGTGAATTGTACTTATGCACTGGAAAAATGTGATTTATTGCCAAAGCATGTACCCTCTTGTTACTATGAACAATTAATAAATGTGCCCTTCTCACAAACTTTGGTGACCCTAGTGGTACCTCATTCCACCCACAGCTTTTGAGATAAATTTTCATTAATCCGCTGTTGAGATAAATTTTCATTACAATGTTTTTAGCATTACAGAACAGTTTTTGAACAGTGTTCTTCAGAAATTTCTTATGATGGGAGTGTTGTAGGTGTTTTATATGTTTAATTCAGGGCAATTAATTTTAGAAGAAACTGACATAATGGGTTTGTACCTTTGACCACTTGTCTTCCATGAATTTATTAGGGTAAGACAGCAAAAGGACAAAAGTAATGCTCATGTCCTTTTAAAGGATTATTACATGGTTCATAAGAGAATCTATCTAAATTTGATTTTTTTTTAATAAATAATCTAAAAATAAAAAACCAAATAAATCTCTATTTAAATTGACAATTTTAATGGTGATTTATACATAAATGACATGTGTTATTTTCAATTGCAGAATTAACCTGAAAATTTATTAAATCTAACTTCAAAAAGAAGACTCACAAAATCACGTAGAAAAATCTAAAATCAATGGAACTATATTTGATTGCAATGTTCGACTGTGTTACATTTAATTGCAAATAATAGCTAAGATGAAAATGGATTATATTACTAGATTTGATTCTACGATCAAGTGTACTATAGTCTATTCACGAGTGTAGCACCATAATAGATTAATCCAACTCATCTCAGATTTTACCTAGGAAAAATGTAATAATATAAATGGTTACTTCATTGTTATGATTAAAAAAAGATTCTGATATAAAGAAATTGCCCAACTGATTTTAGTAAACTCTTTTAGTTATTTTAAAACTTCCAAAATCCAATTTAAGGAAAGACGATTGGGTTTGATTCATCTAAAAGTGTTAAGATTGATTCTGCAAACACCAGTCTGGTTGGAATTTTTCTAGATAAATTACCCATTTATTTATCATTTCGTTCCCAATCAGCTAACGTCTTCCTCCTATTCTCTCGCCTTCGCAGTGAAAGAAATCGTGATTCTTCACCCTCCCCCATCTCCTCCACATCGACCCGACAAGCTCGACAGCTGGTGTTTGACCAACTTCCCCGTAAGATTCTCTCACCAAAACCCGAAGGGCCCCTCCGAAAGCAGGTATACCTGTGCCATCATTAACGGGAGTGGTGATGATGGTGGCCACGCACTCAGACTCTATTACCACGTTGCATTAATTCTTCCGACACGGCAACCTGTCCCCTTTTGTCATCCCCCTCCCACCCCATTACTCCCTACCCACCGTATCTGCAGAAGCCGCTGTCGATGATGGCTGGCACAAAAGCAATGACCGGTTGATGTTCTCCGCAGCACTTGATTGGTTCAAGTCGTTCGTTGTCAACCATCAGCACCGTTTGACGCTCACCTTTCCGCCCAAGATCATGGTGCTGCAGCCTGAGAAGCCACGGAGTGGGGATGTTGCTGTGCCCACTCCCACGGCATTACAACTTTCTGCCCTCTAGGCAGTGGTGCCTCGCACGAGAGAGATCTGTGGAGTGGCGGAAGTAGGACCAATGGTTTAGATTTTTTTTTTAATATCTTGATTTTTTTAGATTTAAAAATTTATATTAATTTTTTATAATTATAAAAAATAAAATATTTAATTTTATTTATTTTACCGTCGTTAATTTTACCGACAGAAGCACGAAAACAATCGTAAAAAGAAAATTTCGACAATCCAATTCGTGATGACGGACGATGACGTCACTAAGGGTTGTATGTGTGTGACTAATGTGAATGAGAAGAGATAGCGATAATGAAAAGTGAGAGCTGCTTTGCATCTCTATCGACATCAATGCCATTACTTGTGATGAAAGGATTGCTCGACATCTACATCGACGTCGATGTAAATGTAGAGCAACGAAAGGGCTGCTCGACAACTACGTCGACGTCAACGTAGATATAGATGCTAACTGGCCCTTTCGTCGCTTTACATTTACGTCGACGCCAATGAAGTTACCGAATGATGTTGCTCTCTATCTATATCAATGTCGATGCAAATACTAAGTGGTCTTTTCGTCGCTCAACTACATCTACGCATCACTTGGTAATTGTGTCGATGTCACCATCGATCTCCCTCATCTACAACAACTAACCTATGGCCCTCAATGACATCATTATCTGCCACCATCGTCATCCATCACCATCAACTTAAATATTAAATTATCTTTTTATTCATTGTTTTTATGCTTTCGTCGATAAAACTAACGACGTTATGATAAATAAAACTAGATGTTTCACGTTCATAACTATAGGAATTTCAATATAAATTTTTGAAGCCTAAGAATCGAGATGCCAAAAAGATCTAACTAAAAGAGATAATCTATAATTAGTCCGTTGAAGTGACATCTACGACCAAGCAAAATTAAATTGGTTAGCAGATTTGTAGTGTCTTCATCTAAAAAGAAATAGTTCTAAAGCAATCATATAATTCATACTAACCATAGTCTCTTAGTACAAACATAATAAACCAATGGAAATTGTATTTGTTATATATTTGTTTGATACACTAGAAACAAAATAATAGAAGACAACACCTAAAATATTAACGTGGTGCTCAATCCATACAATAGAAGACTAAAGATTTAAAAATTCAATACAATAGTTCGCAATATTCGAATATATCAACTAATAAGGAGCTTGCATAGGTACCTATGCAACAAAACAAAGGAATAATAGAGGACAATTCATAGGATACTATTGCACAGTTGGCAATGACTCAAAGTGACAAGCTGTCCTCCGGAATACAATAATTCCTGCACATGGCAAAGATAGATGAGAGAGAATTGAGCATTTTGCAGCTGTCTTCTGTTTCTTCTTTCTTTATATCATCAGCTCAACCCCTCATGCAAAACATGATAAAGAGAGTTCATAAGAAAGCTTTTCACCTGGAAATCAGTGCAAAGTCTTGTGGAGCCTTTGGCTTTTGGGTTGCAAAAAGCAACAAATGTTTTGCATATATAACATTCTGGAATTAGAGCTCTAAACAAATGGTTCAGTTAATCCGAGAACTCAGGGGATCAAACAAGAATCAAAGCATCTTCCTGCTACTAAATTATAGTAAAATCCAACTGAAAAAATAGATATACATACCATTCACCATTTGTTCCTGATGGAGACTTCAGCTGATCTTCCAAAATCTGCCCTTTCGTTTGTTTGCTGCAAGACAATACATTCGATTTGAGATTTAAAGAACAATGCCATAAGAGGAGAGGGTCAGAAGACAGGTCCGATAAGAGGTAAAATACCTTGATCTGATTCAGATGTGTTTGAACAACCCAATCCAGCTTCCGACCAGTTCAGTTGGCAATTAGAGAATCCCCTATATAAAACAGCAGAGAAGAAAAGTTGATCTTTATTAAAGCACAACCCAACCAACCCATTTTGGCTGTACAAAAGCATCTCCTCCCTCCACGTTCCAGAAAGGGCAAAAGAAATATCATATCAAAAATGATATCTACACCGACTTATCCAACCTAACACACCAAAAGATGGGGAATTATCTTCTTCCTGTTTTATAACTATATACTCTTTTGCCTGATCACATATATAAGAAGATAGTAAAAAATTATGAAAAGCCGTTTAAACGGATCCAGCTCGACGGCAAACACCTTCCAGAGCTTCCACAAACATGCCGGAGAACCCTGTCAACGCCTGAAACACACCGGGCAGGCCCGTCTGTATGTTGTTAAGGGTCATCGACCGCGTGACCTCGACCGCCTTAGCATGCCTCATCATCTCATCTTCTACCTTTCTCCGACATGCTGCAATCTCCGACTTCTTCTCTGCTAATGGGTCGCGCGTGTCAAATACTTGTCCATCATTGTCGTGCCCACCACCTGGGAGCGCAAGTCCAACCATTGAGTACGACTGGTAATATTTTTTCTCGGTATTCCTCAGTGCAGTAGATTTTTTCTCAAGCTCTTTTGAGTATGTCTCAGCTCGTTTCTTAATCTTCAATTCCTCAACCTGCTTTGTGTAGATGACATGGATGACATTCATGAAACTTTTGACAGCCTCAGAGGCCACTGTGTCAGGCAGTCGATCTAGCGCTTGCTTCCACTCATCACAGAAGGCTGTAAGCTCAACTGCGACAGGTGAAGAATGGTCTTTCTGGGGATTGTCACTGCTAACCTGGAGGAGTGTGAGCTTAAGCCAGCCATACAAGGCATGGACATAGTCACGCTGATACTTGATAAGGCGGTTGAAGCTTGAATGCCATGCCGAGACTGCAGCTTCAAGATCACGGGTTGCCAGCCGATGCAAGTCCGATGTCGACTCGCCAGTAGAGGCACGATTCACAAGACCTCGGACTTGTTGCACAATATGGTTCTGGATTTCGTGAAACTTATTCATTTGCCTCCACATATTCAAAAGCCTAAAAGATATTTGACGATTATGGTATTGGTTAGATACAGTTAAACAACTATCCTCCAATGCTCGTAACTAAAAGCAAGTCTTAACGGTGTAAGATGAAATCAGGAAGAATGTAAAATAAATAATTAAAGATTCCAATGAGGGAAGAGTTACTCACGCATAACAAATCTCGACAAGTTGTGGTGCAAGTTCATCATCGCGAACTTTGGTGATAGCAGAAGATGTGGTAGTGACGGCCTGTGATGTCACTATGATTAGTGAGTGCAATTTCTGTATGGAGGCCTTGGTCTTGTCCAGTTTTGCATCATCCTTTTGCCTATACTCCTGGCTCTGCAATGTTGACAGTTTCTTCTCGTGCTCAATCTTTACACCCTCTCTAACCTGTACACTCAAACAGCAAAGATGCAACCATGATAAGAATACCACCATTGCAAGACCAAAGCACTGTACTGGTTGGAGTGCTTCGACTGCTGCGTTTGAGCCGGAGATAACTGGACGAAGTCTGAAAATTATTTAACTAATAGAAAACCAATTTGAAGACCAAAAGCATGAAGTTAAAAAGCATAATAAGCTTATGGGCATTTCTGCTTCAAAGACCTTTCGCTTGGCTTGATCGATGAAAATGTTCAAATGAATAATATGGTAGTGCACATCTAGAATTTAGCAAATCAGTATTCTTAATTAATCCAAATATGTGGCATATTATGTGGATCTTTGCAATAAGCCAAACTTGTTTACACTTGCAGAGAACAAAGCAGATATGTAAGTGATTTCATCCTTGGTTTTTCAGTTAAAAAGTTGCAATATTATCTATACGAGTGTCAGGGTGGAAAATGGTACAACATTCTTTCTGTACTGCTAAATTAGAGCTAGCATAACTATATGATCATCTCCTACTATGCAGCTTAGACTCAAAAGATGAATGCATGAGATAAGCACCAATATCTAACTAAAAGAAATGTAATCATAAGCCATCGGGTACGGTTTATAGATCTTTTCATTTCTAATCAGTCTCTACCATGATCATTTCTAACTAAATCATTTGTCTATATGGATAAAATACTGAACTAGCAAAGGAAGAGTCTATATGCACCTAGTGCACGTAATAATTTGAAATGTCCCTTATATAACCACTGTGATGAATAACTTAAAAGTGGCAAAAAGCAAGTCTCTTAGTGGTAGAAAAACATAAAAGAAAAATACTAAAAGACAATGATCGCAAGACAATGCCCTCTGTATGAAGATAAAGAGGAACTTCAACAAAGTACCACTAAGTAATCCCATTAGCTAGAATCCAGTCATCGCATTTAAAATAAGCCTAACAAGCCACATCCATCATGCAAATTGGTTCTTTGCAAGTGAAATATCTTATAAACTATAATGAGCCAGGCACTGCACCTTTACGTTTCCCTCTAACAGCAAATCTGAAATCAACCTGCAACAGTATTTATCTTCCCACCAACTGACCAACCTCAGAAGATGTAAGTGTCAGTCAATCAGGTCAAATGCTTAGGAGATGCATTCTAAGTACTCATTGACCTTAGGGTCTATTACAATCAGAACCATACTAATTATTGGAAAGTGTTCGATTCAACAAAATTTCTACCCCATGGCCCATAGGAGTTTCTAATGGCATTACAATTGCTTGGTAGTCTGCCATGAACAGGAATCTGTGAAAGAAATTATATAAAACTAAAACGTTCACTAGAACTGCTAGTGGCTAAGCCAGAGAGTCATATCGTAAAGCAAAATGGAATTTTCACATGGTAAGCTATCGAACCAGGTACTAAAATTGGACCTATCAAGTTATTGATTAATGTGAACAAGATTTGCTTTGACATGATGGCAAAATGAAAAAGGAAAAAAGATCTTATTGTCACTCAATCTCAAGGGTAAGGATGAAAGGTATTGCCCCCAAGTCCTAATACACATGGAGCGAAGGTAACCATCCATACAATGAGAATTTGGACAAAGATCAAGAAGAGAGCAACTACCGTTCCTCTCATCCTACAATTTCAAGACAACTTAAACTAATCTAGCAAGAGGTCCAGATATTTGCTCCTCAGTTTCCAATGTTAATATCCGGTTCCATGTTTAAAATAATGTTTACAAACTTGTTCTGGCAGCACTTATTTCTATGTAAATTCTTAATTATATTTCAAGTGCATTTGTCTATCTACAAAAGAATTCCCTTAATTTGGTAAAATGTGCAAAGAATTGTACTGTTAAGGATGAAAATAAAGAATAGCAAGAGCAAACCAAATGTTATCGCCGAGAGGTATAGAAGATACATGATACCTTCACCTCCTCATAGAGCTTCTTCTCCCAAGCCAAGAGCCGCTCCAAAGTGGAGCCATTGCTCTTCCCTCCACCCGACTCCTCTAAAGCCACCGGATCCAGGCTGTACCGAATTGCCAGCGGCGGCTTCGACGTCCAGCTCGAGGATAGCACGCTCAGTACACTGCTTGAGTGGTACACCGTCTCTGAAAGATGAATAAGATCAAGCATACAATTCATTGAAGCTTCAATTTGATCTCAAGTCTAAGCCCAAATGAAACTTGGGTGCCCTTCTACTTACTCTTGAGCTGCCGGAAGCTACCATCAAATTGGGCATGGCCAATCTCAAGGAGATCTGAGACAGCGCTGCCTGCATCGGCGGCCTTGATGAAATGCTCCTTGATCGCCTCTGCAATCTCCGCCAGACTTTGGTGGCGCACCACCATCCTCAGCTCGGCGACGGCAGATGACAAGGAAGTCTCCTCCCGGCCGCCAGCGTTCCACCTGGCAGACGACGATCCCACCTCCGACCTCGGCCGCAGGCGCGACTTCACCTCCGCCGCCGCGGATGATGCGATCTCCGACGGCGCCGCCTGACTAGGGGCGAAGCCCCCGTAGGCGGATCTGGTGGCCATGCTCTCGGATCTCGAGACCGTGGCCCTGTCATCTTCTTGGTCATCCTCCTGCTCCGGCTCGCCGTCGGATCTGGAGGTAGAGCTGGTGGTGCTCGTGTAGCGCTCGCCCCATTCGCGACAGTGGACCTCTTCTCTTCCTCCTCCTCCTTGTTCTTCTTCTTCCTGTGATATCTGCTCCTCGTCCGATTCGCCCACTTCTTCCTCCGGAGGAAGATGGTGTTGCAGGCGATTCTTCTCCTCAAGCTCGGCCTTCCGGCGTTCGAAGAACTCGGAATCCGGGGGCGACGGAGGGTAGAAGTTCTCCCAGTCCCAGGCGGAGGAAGACTGAGAGGGAGTGGTGGCATACGTCGAGTTCACAGCCGGGAACCGTGGGTGGCCGTCAGCCACGGCGGCGGCAGAGGGCCTATGGAAGGGGGTGCCGGCAACGGTGGGGGAAGGGGAGGGGGAGAAATGGTGGCGGTGGCGGGGGCGGAGTTGAGACGGCGGCGGCGACGGAGAAGGTGGTGGAGGGGGCTGAAGCGTGGGCGGAGGGAGGGAAGCCGAAGGGGAGGCGGCAGATGATCGGAGGAGAACGGGCGGGGTGTGCTCGGAGACAGCGAGGAGCTCGCCGACTGCGAAGCTGGCGAGGGCGGAACCAGTGAGGCGGAGGGAGCGGAGGTAGTCAGCGTGGGCGGAGGCGAGGTGGTGGCGGGAGCAGACCGCCTCCTTCATGAGGCGGCGCCGCTCCTTGCACCGGCGCACGCAGTCCTCGTTCTCCAGCCGCGACGCCGTGCAACCCATTCCCCTTCCGCAGCCAGCGGGCACGCTCGATGGCGGCGAGCACCACCACGATCAATCAACCAACCAACGGCCAGCGATGGAGCCGAGCGAGCGAGAGACGGCAACTGTCGCGGTATAATTACCGTACATGGAAAGAAAGCGAGAGCTCGATAAATAGACCAAACCAACAGATGTGAAGACACTTTATAGAGTATCACGCACCAACAAACGTGCGGTCGTTCTCACCTCACTCCGCCACGCTGCCTTATTCCACCTCGTTCGTATCCGTATAAAAATATCTTATTTTTTGACAATTTAATTTATTTATTTGACGGTAAAAGATTAAGGCTATCTGCCTACGTGGGAATAAGCCATCCGTTGGATGCGATCGTCGACAGACCAGCTGAATCCGGACCGTTCGATTCCACAGGGTTCGGATCACCCGCTTTGGGCAATGCACCATTCAGGAAAAAGGTTTTTCCCATTGGAGAATTCTGCTGGTCCGACACCCTACACACGTTTCACGAACCGGGCGCCTTGGATTCTTGGCGTTGGGGATGTGGATCAGCGGGAAGGACGGATGAGATCTGATCAAACGGTCAGCGTGAATCGTCCGAAATATAATATTATTTATTTATTAACAGAAATACACTTTTCACGGAAATGAGTTATTATATTTTCGAATAGGAAAAATAAAAAAAATCTCTATATTATAAATCCAAATGCTAAAAAAACAAGATTACAACATGGAATAATACCTCTTGACTTGATAAAATTGTATAAAACATATATTTTAATCCACGGAATATTTGGAATTCTACTAATAGGAATAAATATGCAATTCTTGTACTCCTAATGGAGTACATGCTAGAAAATATTATTGGTAGATTGAATGACTTAAAGATTAATAATTTTTAATCATAGTCAATATTAATTTATTTGAGTTAAAAATATATACATTATAAAAATGTATAAATATTTTTACTCTAAATGTTAAATATTAACAAATAGTTGACTTGTTTTAGCCAATAAAGATTAATGATAATGACATATACGCATATTGTTAAAGAAATAAATACGGATATAAATTATATTTATGCAAGTAATTTCGCCAAAATGTCCTTAGAACGTTTGGTTATATCTTGGTTTGGACCAACCACCCACGTGCGTCGCGGCTTCCTTTCCACCGCCTCTTCTACTTTCCTTCGGCCACTTCCCTTTTCCTTTATCATCATCATTCTATCCCCCCCCCGTGTCCCTCTCCCTCTCTGCTTTCCCTTACTCTACCCTAACGGAGACATGGATTGTTGGATGGATACTGTATGTGTCTATGTAGGGACCCTCTTTTGTCCACACACTCCGGGTGGGTTAAAGCATTTGGGTTCTTCCATTGGAAGAGCAAAAGTTGTTCAGCCAGTGGTGAGTGGGGGATAGGGTTCCCGTCCCCAGGCATACTCAGGAACATGGTATTTGAGAAGGTACAGTTGTTACCTTTGTATTTATCTCCTCTCATCTTTTTTATCTGGCTTCTTCTTGAAATGTTGGAAACAACAAGGACCGCTGGATTTCCTGGGTCCAAGTTGCTGATAGGTATCTTTGTTCTGTGCCTGAATCATCAACATAAAAGCAGGTCCTGAAGCTGACATTATATTTTTGTTTTTACAATGTGTTATTCAGGTAATGGCATTTCTTGTTCAGATATGAGTAGGGCACACCATGGATTTGGAGTTGTAATCAAAGTACTCGCTTGATGGGTTGATCGATGCTGGGGAAAGTGAAAAGTTGAATACTTTCACCCACCAAACAGTTGAAATGAATAATTCAGATTCAATGCATACCTCTGCCTAGGCCAACTATCAAAGATCACGAGCAATGCTTCTTTGTCAATTCGTTTCCAAGGAAAAGAGGTTTTTGCATATTTGTCCCTTGGATATGTGCTAATCCTGAAAACCTACATGATATGATCCAAAATATATTTCATGTAGGGCTGAAATTGCTGTTGTCGTGGTGGTAATTCTACTTTCTTCTTTCCTTTGTATTTTTCGAGATCAAATGTTAAGCATTAAGGTGATGATGAGATTCGTTTGTGAGATTTTGCTGTCAAGCATCAAGATCTTTATCAACTAATTAATTTAACGAAAGTCAGATTTGATCACGGGACATTGCTAGCAAGGCCAATATCTTTATCGGCTATGGAGTAAGACATTACCATTATCAGTCAAGATCTTTACTAGATGAGGTACGTGACACCTACAAATTACTTATCTTTATCCAATCCAAGATTCTTTCACCTTAAATGTGATGCTTCACATGTAGCATCTTGTTTGATATCGATGCCTTGTTATGTCTTTTGATATGCAAAATTTTTTTTCTCTGAAAGATGCTGATGGCTCTATAAAGATTTTCACACTTGATGGTAAAAGAATTTCACAGGCATAGGTTGATTCATTCTAAGTAGTAGAAGTGAACATAGCAAGGTTTTTAGAATTAGCAAATGAAGATTGTTAAGTTCTTTTTTGAAGTTCGTAACTTTTTGTGGAATACTTTTACCCATCATCACTTTGTCCTTCATAGGTTAACTTTGAACTTGACTTTGGATATTTATCTTTGTCTGTCTCTTTTTACCTTATCATCAAAGCCATTAGAGAAGTTCTGATAACCTGTTGAGCCATTCATACCTGGTGGAAAGTCTGGGAAGTATGATATGGGAAATGGCATAGGTATGCATCAAAGAAGCCACAGCATTGACTTATTTAGAGTCTCATGGCCTGGTCTTTCTTGGGTTCATTTGCCATTTCTAGACCATTGAATCATTTTTTATCATTACAATGCCACTAGATGGTTGTTTCAAAGAACAAAGAATCATTAATCGTTTCAAGCGTACCAAATTTATTTTTGATCCGCTAACCAGAAGACTTAGGAACACATATACAGGGGGGACATTTTAATGAGAAAATGGTAATTTAGCATAAGAGACCATCTTTCCCAAATTATTTACAGTACCTATGTTATTTGACAATGATGGTGCCAGTTGAGGAACTAAGGCTTACGATCGGGCTTATTAATATGGATTGTGCCTAGAGTGGCCCAGATTGCCCTAGGTTTTGTACAAGCCATGGATGTAGACTCTGGTAGTGGGCCCAAAAAAGAAACCCTTACTTTCTTGGGCTGGCCAACTAACAACCTAGAATGTTCGGTTGACTCCACAATACCTAGTGCTATGAACTGATGAGTGAGTGATTGAGTTTGCTTAGTGAAAGTCTTCGAGTGTGATGTCAAAAGGTCATGGGTTTAAGTCTTATTACAAGCGTAGTTGCACTTGCAAAGACACAAGGTATTATGAAGAGGATCTATTAAACTCTAAGAGAGTTAATCCTTAACTTAGAAAGTGCTTAATCTTTGGTGATATGAGGACCATTGTATTTGTGTGTCTATCCTATGCCCGCATCAGGTCAATTGAAATTATGGATATATGTTCATATCTATATCAGAAACTCTTTTGACTCTAAAGCTAACTAAAATTCTTCACTCGTGATCTTTATATTATGAAACCTTAAAACAAATTAATCTTCGACAATTTGGCAGTTTTTTGTCTTCTAAATTTTCTTTGTAGTTCTCATGCACTCATGTACCTTCCTTAGAAAAAAAACACTTGGGGTGTATGTGGTAAACATTAAACTTTCTGACGCCTCACAAGTTATGCTAAGGAAAATTTATCAATTCATATACTCATGAAGGACACACGTCATCTACATAAAAAGCAGGAGATATGCTTTAATTTCGTCTTCACAAAACATGAAAGAGATGTTTTGAGTTTTCTGAGTCATCATAGGTGTGACTTATTATCGTTGCTATTGTTGTTGGAGATATGATTTGTTATGTAAACAAAATCTTTGGTTGTTCTTTTATTCTTGTTCATATTGATTTGATTGTGTTAAATGCATGTATTGTTTTTATTGTTGCGGACTTACGGTGTAAATTGCATTAATGTATTTAAATTTTTTATTATCCGTCCTATGAGAGAGGCTTATGCACTTATTGAGTATTTGTTGTAAATATTCATTCACACTTTTTGTTGATTTTTTTAGACAAAGAAATCTGTATGCTTGTGATAGAATCCTGCTTCCAACATAAGCATTAATGGTACTGTTGATAACCGTGAAGATCGAATGAAATGAATGGATCCAGAGGCTCTACTAGAAAGCAAATAGGGAAATAATAAACTTCTAGAGACCATGTTGCTACATACTCATTAGTTGCTTTTCCGAAGCTCTTATTCGTGTGTTTTGAAATTTATAGTCTATCTTAGTTTAATTAGGCTGTTATCAACTATAATTGAGGACTTTTACCTGTGGTTGTGTTGTGAGATAGGTTAATATATTATATGTGTTCTCCTCGAATGTTGTTGAGGGTGAAGAGGGCCAACTCAAGTTAGCCCAATCCTGTTGGCTCAATCTGGGATCAATTTGGTCTGTGGTTTAAGGGCGAGACAATTGAGCTCCCTGTGAATCATGTAAAGGTGCATGCATGTCACCTCAGTTTCTTCATCGTTTTCAGTATGGACTCTTTGATTTTGACTGAACTCTTCTTTCGAACTCGTGCATGCGACTTGCAATATTTATTCTATTTATGCAGAGCTCTCAATCTGTGAGATCACTGACTAGGCGCACATGCCCCATAGATCGAGGAAGCTTCCCAGTTCATACAGCGGACTATCTATCTCATGTTTACGATGCTGGTAAGTGGATTCTGTCTTCTTGATGAGTCTCATGGAATGCTCGTTTGGAAAATAACTGGTCAAGATTCAAACGCTGACCTCCCGTATCTCCCCGCCTACTTTTCTCCGCTCATGTGCCTGTGCCTGACATGACCTTCGTTGATTCCATCGCCTTCATAATTAGTTAGCCATCGTTTCAGCACCATAGAAGATATATTTTTATCTGCAGTATTATTGACTTACGCTCATATTAACGTATGAGATAGAGATCATTAGCAGTACACATTTGACTTCATTCTTTTTCATGAGTTTCTTTTTTTAGTGTGCATTCAATTGTTCATTTATTTTAATCCAATGCCTGTTTTCTTTTTTTTACTTTTGGCAGCTTGCAGTTTGAAGCTGAATTTTTCTCTTATAGTTATATAATGAAATTATTTTTTTTCTCGGTTAGAAAAACATCTATAAAAATTCCACCTCAAATTGTTCAATTTGGTGAGTGAGTATTAGGGAGGTTAAGCAACTGCTTCATCCATCCAAAAGAAAACCTAAGACTAATCTTTACTAAGTGTAATTATTTTTGGATAATTTAATTTAAAAATATCCTTAAAATTCGTACTGTTAGTTTACTAAGTTTATTATTGTTAGAGATGTAATTTAAACTTTGATTATGATTAGATAACGATTTAGAAGTTGAGTAGGATTAGAACTTTATGATCAAATAGACTAGAAGTTCTATGTTACTAGGCTTATAAAAGAGGATGCATGACACCCTATTCAACGCGAAGAGAGAGGAACAGCCCAACTCTAGAGAGAAGAGAGAGGGTGCCACATCTTAGAGAGAGGAGTGGTAGCTTAAGTGAAACATTGTTTGCTTCTTAATAAAGCACTCTTTTCTTCATCTATTGTTTTCTCTTTTTTCTTCTCTTTTATTTTGTGGGTTTGAAATCTAACATGATATTAGAGCTGTTCTATTTCAAATAATTATTGTCAATATAAACTACAAGGGTATAAATAAGTCATTCAATTTCATAAAGATTTATATGTTAAAAATAAACTGTGTGATAAATACAAAAGCAGTGACTTGAATCGCCTCTACCTGAGCTTCCTACATAAAGCACAGATTAAATGTACTAAGAAAAAGAGGTGCATGAGGACAAGGCTTCGTTGGGAGCATAAAGGACCAGTTGATTTATATTTGCAGCGAGAAAGAAGACTCCCAATTCTCCGTTCTATTCTTTGTTCACCAACTAAACCCACTGGTTGTTGGCTTTTCTTCTATGGTCTGACATTCTTCTGCCATTAGTTTCTGAAAAGGATTTCTTCATGGCTGATGACCACAATTGATGCCTTCTCTTTACCTTTTACACTAATCCAGTAGAAGCTTTTCAAAACTTGACCTATTTAACAATTAGGAAAATAAGTATCCTAACAAAATTATGAATATATACATATATACATACATCAAAGTTTGACTCCAAGTTTTGTCGTCTTTTTCTCCTCTTTCCATGTTATTTCCGAGCTCATATGATAAGTGTATTTAATGGAGCCAAAAGTTTTTCGTTCCTTCCCACCCGCTTATTACCTGTGCTATGAGATCAATGTGCTGTACTTTTTGGACTCACTCCATATTCAACCCGTGCTGTACTTCTTAGACTCATTCGCGAGTTCAACCCCATACCTTTTGGGGTAATATGATTACTAGTATCTACTTTGAAAGACGCTTGCTAATATGTTTATAATTTAGACAAATATAT